GCCATATCAGATTCTGTTCGCGAATTGTTGCCAAATCACCTCCAACCACTTGCTCGCCACCCACCTGCACTTGATAATGAGCGACGTTGTGATGCACCTAGGAGGCTTCGCTTGGCAAGCAACGGACAAGAGCGAATCCAATCCAGACCGCCGTATTAAGTTGGCGACCGACACAACCAGATCTCCCAAAGTCCCGCTCCGTCAACGATCGCTGGGTGCCATGCCGGGTATAGCGCGCTATCGCTCCGACTCAGCGGCGACCGAACCGCGTCTCAGTATCTGTAGCACATCCGGCACGGTGTACGAGAGCGTCGTGGTGGTGGGACATATGTATGGCTCGGATAAGGTCGTGTACTACCTATTGGAAGTGCGGTCGTGGGAGATGCCGCTCGAGGGCTACGTGGTGCGGCGTCGCTACAATGATTTCTTCAAGTTCCACCAGGAATTGACCGAATGCATGCCCTCACAACGCCGTCGAAGCAGCACAAGCCTCGGCTTCGGCTACTCCTCACTGCTATGCAATCCACTGACCAGCGCGACACCGGAGTCTTCCCCACTTTGGTCACCTGTGCGGACGGACGACGGACGTTCAGACCAGAGGAGAGGATCTTGGATCAGCGAGGACAGCAGCATTTCACAACCTCAAGTGGAGGACAACGATACGAGGAGCAGTGCCTCTACTACACTGACTGGAGTATCGAGCTACAATAATGACTCGGTGCTACCGCTGGACGCCGTCAAGTTCAATCTGGCCCGGCGTCCGTGGTTGCCGCCGATGCCAATGGCGGAATGCTCACCGTGGTTTACTACTCGTCGTGCACTCATCAACTACCGGCATCGAACAATTTAACCACCATCCCTGGGAGCCGTGATGAGCGACAAGTCCAGCGACGTGGCCAAACTGCTCATGAACTTTATCCAGGAGAAACCAGGCACGCAGACGCAGACGTACACAAATCTGTCCGAGTACGCACCCATCGACATCCCGTTAAACGTGGAGCGGTACGCGCGACGGCGGGCTATGTCCATAGGTAAACGCCAGTTGCGCGACCAAGCATCCTCGCCCGTTCCGTGAGAACGCCAGAAGTAGAGTGCTGTAGAGTAGTGATAGACTACATGTAGTTTCATATAATGTATCCATTTTGCATGTTAAAACGATTTGCGTCGCGCAGTAGCCATCTTCAAAGCAACTTCAACTCGCAACTGCCTTGATACCTAAGGGCAGCTTTCGTCAAAGCTAGTGCTACTGAAAGCGTGTCAGTTCTGGGCCCAGTGAAGTGAAGACATTATTGAAGTGTTATTGACCGGCCGCGGACTATTATAGCAGTGGTTGCAACTGGACGGCCGAAGATGAGCTTGAAGCGCTGCAGATCTGTTTGTGGAACTGGTGAACAAGATCTGGGGCTGCTCAACGAGACTGGGGGAGAGCTGTTTTCGCTCTTCAATGGTTTGCTGGTTTACGCCTCAAGCTGGGAGGGTGTTGTTCCGTGACTCACGGACGGACCGTGAGTACGAAGCGACCAGAAGAAGCCACCCGTGAACAACGAGACAGGACTGACTGCTGGCCATCCCTGGTCTGGTGCTCACAGCCTACGAGACGATGCGAGACCAAACCGAGAGTACAAGCTCCAAATGAATGCACGATGTACATGTGCACTCGCTAGTCGTCGAAGCTAACGCACACTGGTAACAATCATCCATCGTGCGATGATCTACCATACACGAGTGGCGAATGCAATTTACTTAGCGTAGTGAACAATTGAGCGACTGGTATGGATGATCTCCACACGGCAAGCGCTGGTTCGGTTTTTGTAGGGGGGGGTTCTTCTGGCTACCTGTATGGGATGTTGATATCCCAAGCGAAGCCAGCGATATTAATCGTGTCACACAGTGTGTGAGCCCCCATTCTGGACGAAGCTGTTACGCAACGATACGGCACCTCACTGTACGTGGAGTTCAGCAACAGTTGATAGTTGTGTGTCGGCTGAATATCTAGGACACCTCGTCGATACCAGCCTACTTTAATGAACGCCCCAGGTGAGCAGTACCGAACACAGAAACGGAAGGTGGGCAGCGAGAAGCCACTTAGCAGCAGAACATCGATCTGCATACATTTTAATTTTGCTATTTGCACTCGAAATAATTTCAATAAATGCTGTACATGAATAGCGATTGCATGCCAAGCGCCACGAATATCTGTTGGCGTCGTTGTCGTGGCAACAGTGACCTGCGGCAAGTCTTGCCGGACACGTTGTTGTGGCTTGGTGCGGGACATCAGGCAGAAGAACTTGTGTTCATGGGCGCAATGGGGCACTCCTTGAGCGCACGAAACAAAAGCTCATTGAAATGAGGTGACCAGAACCGCACAACGCGTCTTCGGCCGTAGCCATTCTGATACCGTTTGCAATGAGCACAAAGAATGGGTATTTACTTTTGTGCGAAGAAAAGGTAAGGCAACCTAATTCGTTTCAGCCAGCGTGCTTTGGAGTTATTTTCTTTAATAGACGATAAAATAAACAAATTGGAGTATTTTTTGGTGTACAATTAAAGCTCTCTGTATTAATAGCCTTTTCATTGCTTCGTATTCCTAGTCGCCCAGCATCCTCCTCTGGCGCTCATCATTCTTTTCATTGTTGCTCATTTTTAAAACACGAAGCTTTACAGTTTTTGTGGTCAGCAGCTGACCGTCAGCAGGATGTAGTATTGTCAAACTTTAGTAGCGTTAATCGAGCGGTCATTGCTGGAGGTTAGGAATCAAAGTGTAAGCTCGTATCCATTCCTTAATACATTTTCGCACGTTAATGCTCGGGGTGTAGCAACAAGTCGTTTAGATTAAAAAAAGGGTAGGAATTTGAGTCAATCTTACCACCTGCTGCTGATGAACTGCGGACCAGACACTTCGTCCGACTTTATCGTGCTGTAGGGTTTTGAAGTGTACAGTACAGTATTATTAAAAAAAGTACAGTGTACATGTACAATACAGTAGTACTGTCAGTACCGTAGCAAAGCCAAACAGCCAGTTTGTCAGAGTCTCTTTTTGGTGCCCCCTCCTCTTCCTCTTCTGCCTCATTCAGCAAACCCACTTGCTGTGCGCTTCCCCCGAAAAATTCGGCCAGGTACATTTGCCGTGCTGGTCTTATTTCGATAGTCCTAGAGGCATACAGGAGACTTTACACTTTCCTCCCTCCACATCGGCTTAGTCAACTTCCACGTCGTGAGCGACGTACCATGCTAGGACGCAACGTTTGTCTAGCGGCGTTTATCGCTGGTGAGTGGGTGGGCATTTCGGTGTTTCGCAATGAAAATTTGGTGCTTACAGCTCTCGTTCTCGAAAACAGTCGCGGCGCAGGTAACGACGGTGAACGCCGCAACGGCAGCGTCTTCAATCTGCAGCAAAGTCGAGGAATGCTACGTGAACGGATCGTCGTCCAAGGTTTGCAACCGAGCAGAGAAGAAATGCAACCGATGCTTGAGTGAGAAGGAGAGCGAATCGATGTGGGATAGCCTTGGCGCCTGGACCGAGTACAACTGCCACGCCTTCAACGACGATGGGGAGTGTCCTAAAGGCACGACTCAGTGTCCTGCAAGTACGTGGGAGCGTATGACAATGGGTTTCTCGTAGGATAAACTGACTGGGTATTCTGTACAGCGCTACCGACATCGGACGGCGATGAAGAAGAGAGCAGCACAGGGTCGGAAGACGCAGGAACCTCGGAGGAGAGCTCCAAATCGACCTCTAGCTCCACCAAGAAGAAGAAAACGACTTCTTCCTCTTCCGATGACTCGTCCAAATCGACTAGCAGCACTTCCACCAAGAAGAAAACCACGACGGCGTCGTCTTCAAGTGAGTCTGGCAGCGACGACAGCTCATCGAAAACAAAGAAGCCCGTTACTAAGAAGACCACAAAGCCGGCTACCAAGTCTTCGTCGTCTAGCAGCGAGAGTTCGTCGGGAGATTCCTCCAGTTCCTCAGCCTCAGCTAGCGACTCTACCGGCTCGTTCGGATCTGAAACTTCCTCTGCTTCTGCATCGGCAGAATCGAACTCGACGCTGCAAAACTCGGCTGTGTCGCAAGACGAGCACCCAAAGACGAGCAGCGTGAGCGCCACTGTTGCTCCGACGACCACGGCGGCCGCACAGGCCGCAACGGCGGAATCGACCACTGACAACTCCAAGAATTCCAACACTCAGAGCGGCAACTCGGACGCTGGAGGAAGCAAATTGGGCTTGATTGCGGGCATTGCAGGTGGCTCTTGTGTGTTGGTAGCTGTCGCGGCTTTTGTCGTCTGGAAGAAGAAACAGGACGATGAGGACTCGGACGACGAGGATTCGGCCTTCTCGCCCAACAAACCTGCTGCTAACCGTAACGTGTCTGCGCTGCCGTCCGCTTCGTCAGCGACCACGGCGTATACAGCTCAGTCCAACAACTACGGCAACAACTACGGCAACAAATACGAAAGTAATTACAACAGTAACTACGACAGCAACTACAGCAGCAACTACAGTAGCAACTACGGTGCTAGTGGATACAGTAACAACTACACTGCGACGCAGTATGCTGCTGGTGCCGGCGCTGCCGCTGGAACGGTTCCAGTGAGCTACGGGAGTCCGGCCTCGATCGATATCGACGACGAGAACCACATACGTCGCACTGACAGCATTCTGGGCGGCACTGGCGTCATGTCGAGCACCATGTCGAGTGAACAGACTCCGTTCGAGTTCAGCGGCGGCCCCAGTCCTGCCAACCAAGACGTGTGGGGCAACGAGGCCGACAGCTTCCGCCAGAAACGCACAGCGAGCAACGTGTCCGTGGAGTTCTAGGTTATGGTTATTGGTAACTCCGCTAAGACAGTGCGCATTTTGTCTATGAGTAACCGCATACAGTATCTCGCACTTCCCCTTCAAGAAGAGGCTGGAAGAGGCTAATGAATATGTCATGATCCCTGTCAATTCACAGCGCTGCTTCGAAAGCTTTTTAACGTCTGTCTATCTACCATTTCCATCAAGCAGGAAAGTGTTTGCAGGCTGCTCAATGGGCGAGCGTGTAGAGGGAGAACGCAAGCTGCGAGCCGAAGCCTGCAGCAAATCGCAGAGCGTATTTGTGAGCGTAAGCTTTTCCCGTGGCGAGACGAAGAGGAGTCTCGCCCAGGTTCGGGTCGTGGGTCTCAAAGTGCACCACTGGCGCTACACGTCCGCGACGGAGTCCCTCGATTGCTGCTACGTCCTCGAAAGACACAGCCATGGGGTGACCAGTAAAGCCCTTCGTGTTTGCGATCACCAACTCAGTCAACAGCTCGGAGCCGAAAGCTGTGCGCAATGCAGTCACTTCAGTGTAAGCGCACGAAGACTTGGGCGACGCATTGGTGCCCGTCTCGTGACTGTAGTAGACTCCGTTGGAGGCGATCTCCTCACGTGTAATACCAAAGTCTGTCTCTACACGTTGCAAGAAGCGTTCCAGTTCTCGGCCAACGTGGTTCGGCTCCAATGCAGCGCCGTGATAAGCAGAATTGCTGAACTGAGTGGCAAGCAGACGCACAGCCGTAGATCCTGCAACTGGACGCTCTGCAAAGGCCAATGGAGACTCCAGCACGACGCCGATCGCTCCACTACCGACAATCATTCCACTGCGCTTCACGTCGAACGGACGAGCCGCTGCCTCCGCCGTCGGAGCGATACAAGCAGCACCAAGCGCACGGAATCCACCACCAATCAGTGGCATCATCGTCTTCGAGCTAGCAGTATCACTGGACACCACAATGACACGCTGGCATTTTCCAGAGTTAATCCAATCCTGAGCCACACCAATAGCCTGCGTGGCACCAGCACACGCTGCGTTGATCTGTGTGTTGAGACCGCGAGCTCCGGTAAGCTGAGCGACTTGAGCGTTCGCTAGCACCAGCAGTCGGAAGAGGATCTTGCGGTCCATCTCGTACGTAGACTCGCCCTCCTTCTTCTCTTCATAGTAACGCGAGGTCTCCGACACCGCCGCGTTTATAGTCGGGAAGGACGAAGCGTAAATGACACCAGTAGAGTCGCGCATACTTTCAGGCAAGCGCCAGTTCCCGTCAGTTCCGTCGACAAGACCAGCACTACGGACGGCCTCGAGACCAGCAGCCACCGCCAGCTGCGTGGATTTGTCCATAGAGTTCGCAATAGTAGCGGCAATCCCATAATCCTTCTCGAGGTCGACGTCGCTCACAACAGCAGACACTTGGATGCATATATCGTGCGTAGAAACCGGAGTACGCGTCAGATCGCCCGTGATCCTGTCCTTGTGGACTTGTACGATGTTCTGGGCTACCATCCTGTCCTTCTGCGCATCGGAGAGCTCCAAGATGCAGTTCTCGCCTCGTAGAAGCTTCTCAACAGACTTCTCTCCTTCAAACGCCTTGGCTTGACCAGGAAGCCCCACACTCGTACCAGCCACATACACAGCACCAGCAAGCTCCTGTGTTGTCCTGATCAAGCGTTGCTGCTCCTGGTTGTCGCCTTCAGATGTGACTTGGGGCTTTGAGCGAGCGTAGAAACGACGACCCACGTCGTCAATCTGGTCGAGGTAGAAATCTCCTTCAGGGATGGAAGCAATCGACTGTATGAGCTTCACGCCGCTCTTAGCGCCATAAGTTCTTTCACGCAGCGTCATACGTGCCGTGTACTCCGCTGGAGTCTTTTTGCTGCGACGTTCAAGACGAGCTGTGAGATCCAGAGAGTTGGCGATCTTTTCCAGTGAGAAGTTGCTCTCTGTAGGCTCGCGTGTGCGCAGTACAAACATGGTGGCGATGCTGCCTGATCCGTACGAGAACATCAGCACTCGAGAGCCGAGTGCCAGGTCTTTGGCACGCGCATGCACCAACGTAGCCAGGTTCATGTAGACTGCGGCAGTGTAGCAGTTGCCCAGCTGCTGCGAAGTGGTGCAGCTAGGTGATACTTTCGTCGTGAAGTCTTCCTTGGCCACTCCACGAGCTGCTAGATCCAGTTCGCGATCGTTCAGAGTCTCGTCTAGTGGCGTGTGAACCCATTTGGCCAACGGAGCGAACTTCTCTTTGGCAGCTTCATCTTCCGTGTGTAACAAGCGTCTCGAGTCCAGGAAAAGGAGACGAGCGAAGGACTTTTGCACTAGTTTGTTGTATGGCGAGTGGAACACCGCGTAGTCCACAGAAGCCACACCAGGTTCGTCCCCGTCGACCTTTACTGCCGCCTCGCTCTTCTTGCAGAAGAGTTGATAGCATTCATCCAGAGCGTGGAGATAACACGAATTGGACAGCTTACCGTCCACTGTTGGGTACTCGCTGCTCACATTTGGCTTGTAAAAGTCCCAGACGTTCGTCGCGTGGGTGGACTTGGTCCTGCAGTCCAATACCATGGGCGCATCCGGTCCAATGAGCATGGCTACAGCTCCACAGCCGCCACTGGGACGTGCAGGTCCCTTGGCGTACACTGCAATGTCAGTAGCCACTGCAATCGCGTATCTTCCGTCCCAGAAAGAGCTGTCAATCCACGCTACAGCGTTTAGTAGCGCCGCAGTGCCACCATAGCAGGCGTTGATGACTGTAGCTCCATCCACATCTGCGTTATCTTCAAACAGCTGCATGAGGACAGTCTTAGTGGACTTGCTCTTGTCCACTAGCGTCTCCGTGCCCACTTCCAAGCGTCCAACTTGCTCAGGAGCCACTTGAAACTTGCTCATTAGCCTCGAGACGGCAGTCAGCGCCAGTGCATTGACGTCTTCACGGTCTCCAGGAACAGCCATGCCCAATTGGCCCAGTCCCAACGTGTACTTGCCGCTGCCAACACCGTCGAAGGTCTCCATCTCGCGCTGATCTACATAGTCCGAGGGAAAATGCACTTCCATGGCCAGAATGCCCACGTCGCTGGGGCGCGCGGAGCTCACCATTATCTGCTACTGCTGTATGTGGCTCTATACGAAAAGGATCTGGAATTGCGCACAACAGTGCGAGTGGGCTGGAGGTGTGGCCGCGTGTTGCCGCGTCACGTCTGAGCTCACGAAAGACCTCCGATCTGCTTGTGCTGTTGTTGCTGTGCTCGTCACAAATTATGGCTCATTTCTGCTCAGGCCTTAATTGTGCAACAGCTTTGTTGCTTGTTGCCAGAATGAACCTTCGCCATCAACATCCTGGCGGCATTCTTCTGTATTACA